CGCCACGAGTGGGCTACTTAGAAAAGGCAGTGATGGGGTGAATTCACACGAATTCTGCTGGTTTTACCGTGGGGTAAAACTGCCTGATGGGCAAGATGCTGCCACTTGCCGTTTGTCCACCGTGGTTTATAAGCTATGAGTTCATCTTTATTCAGTTTCTCAAGAGCTGCATTTTTGAGGGATCAAATAGTGATTGGGGGTCTTTGGTGTCAGTGGTGGTATAGAGTTAATTCTAAGGTCTGCTGAGCTACTTCTTTTAGAGACAGGTGCTAAATTAAAGATTTGTGTAGTTTTAGCAGCGTGTTTTTTTTATCAGTCATTGTCATTCTTTTCCCACTCCCTGGATGAGAAAATGGCTTATGTTTCCTGAGCTATCAGCCTAGTGATATTTCTGAGGTTCGTGTTTACTGTGAGGAACAGAAGTGGTGTGTTGCGCTTACAGCATGTCAGTTCCACACCTACTGATTTTTCTGGATGTCCCTAGTCACTCTGTACTTTGAGGAGACTGATATTTCCAAATACTTTTGTGCAAGTAGCAGGTGGTGTAAGGACAGAACTGTGGAACTCGAATTATGTGGGTGACCTGGACACTGCTGAGTTATCTTACACATTAATGAACTTCTTTCTGAAGTGTGGGCCTTTACTGTATTTTTAATTATAACCTCTTCTGGCAAAGACAGTGTTTTATTCACACATTCTTTTTTTAATATATATTTCCCTCTCATTTATAGGAACACAGTAAAATATTTGTTATGTTGGGATCAGCTTATAGTGAGGGTCTGCTGAATTTGTTCCCTTTCACCTTCCCTCACATTTGTCTCCCATATATATATAATAAATAGTTTAGAATTCAACAAGAGTGAAAGAATATCAAGTTTCTTGAGTTTTATATTAGCATGTAATATGACAAAGAATGTTGTTCATAAAATTAGCCAATAAATAGAATTCTAAGTTCATCTCACTGATGATATAATCAAAACCAATCTCCCTTCTATGAACCAAACTACCTTTCTGTTTCCTGCTAGAAGATCCTCTAGGTGTTATGGTGGCTGTTTTTCAAAGGGGCACAATATAATTTGTTCAGACTTTTCTGTAAAAGTCTTTGAAAAGTTGAAAAAAAAACCCAACCAGGAGGCCGAAGGTAGGTGGATGACTGGTCTGTATGAGACTGTCTCGCACAAAATTCATGAGTTGGTCCAGATTCACTGGGTGTTGTGTATAGAAGGCTGACGAGCTGTAGCCTCAGGACTTGGTTGTGACTTGGCGTCTGTCCCTTTTGCAGAAGGGGAGAAGTGTGTTGCCATCTAGTTGGGCATATTGATATGAACTGGTGCTTAAGTTGTTGTAGTGAAACCTCCTATATTAATGAAGAATCTGCTGCAGTAAATGTGTTCTGAGTTTAGAAAGATTGCTTATTAAATATTTTTTCTTATTTATTCTTAGTGACAGTTGCTTGTTTAAGTAAGATCTCCGAAGGATAACATTCTCCAGTCTCCAAAGATGGCAACTGTTGCAGGTAATCCAACATTAGTGCTCAATAGGTTAATTTTGCTATCTTTTAGCTAACAGACACAAATTATTTCGTTATTTACATGAATATAAAGTATTCAGAAAAGTTTGTGGGGTCTGTGTTATACTTCAGATTTGAAGAGAAAGTTCTTTTACTGGATAATTTTTTTGCTGTTAGATAAGAACTAAAACAAAAGCAGGTTAGTCAAGGAAATTACTTGGTTTTCGGTAGGCTTCATATTTTAGGATACTTTCAACTTTTTCTTTTAACAGTGGGCATTTAGGAAAACAAACGTCCCCGTTTTGTGCCATTCCTAATGAGATTATCTTTTTCCTTATCACACATTTCTGCCTCCGTAAGCAGATTATGGTATCTGCTATGCTTGAACCAAAACCTCTTACTTTGTGGCGCGGGCTGGGGGAAGACATTTCTTCTTGTGCTTTTCTGACCTGGCTCTGACACAGTGGCACGCGCTTGGCTGCTGTGGTATGTGTTAATTATGCTTTTAAACCCTGGGGGCTGGATTCTAGAAAACAATCCGTAATTCACACCGATGCCTATTAGGATGTAAAGAGGCCAACTCCCACCAAAGATTCACTTATGTAACCCCAGCCTCTGGGGAATATTTCCTTCATTTTTTTTTCAGATCTGAAGAACGTCTTGTGCTTGCAAAAGCCTTCAGCTTCTGTGTTCAAACCTTGACGTTCCGCAGATCCTCTGGTTCTGCACAGGAGGGAGATCTGGGTGCATGAAATGTAGCTTTTTGCTATTGTCCCTATTTCCGTCTTCAGAAGACATTTACTTGCTGAGATTAATGTTGCTTCTCACGTGTAAATGCTTTTTATTAAAAATGTTCTAACGTTGTGCTGGATTTGGCTGGAATTCTAACGCTTTCAGCTTTAGTATCAGGCCAGATTCAATATGTCTTTCACTGCTTAACACGCAGCTGCAGAAAAGAAAATCGATTCAAGTGTTTCTCTGGAGAGGCACTGCTTTTGAGAAACTGGATTATGATACACTTTTTTTCCTCTGTTAATCAATGCAGACGATAGTGTTGCATATCTCATACACCATATTGTAGATGACAGCTTACAGCATACCTGTGTGTACATGACCTACTAACGTAAGAAATATGTTGTTAAGCATTGCTAAGTGTTTTTACATGGCATATACAGTATTAGATGCTATAATCTTATCAGTGGGCCTGTCAGGCTGTCAGTTTCTCTAGATACTTTTGGTTAGTGCTTAATTCTGATTGTTCTCGATCAGCAAGTGAAATAAAGTATCCTTTAAAACTGGGATTAGCAGTTTACCGTAGTCTCTGTTCTGCCTTCACCTTGCTTTTCCCTTCAGTGCTAGAGGAGGTGCTGGTTTCCATTGAAAGTGAGCTGCAGGCAGTGGAGATGCAGATTCAAGAGCTTGTGGATAAACAGCAGGAGCTCATCCAGAAGAAGATGAGGGTAAAAAGTCTGATAAAGCAGTCTGCAGGAGACTCGGAGGCAGGTGGAAGTAAGGACACCGAAACCTCAGCCGAAGCATGGAACAAAAAAGGTTTGCAGAGTCAAATTCAAATATTCAAACACAGAAGAAAACTAGTTCAGTAGGGGAAAAATGTGTTCATATAGAGTTTTATTTGGATAATGATAGTTTCCTATTTTGTTTTGTTCAGCTGGGTGACCTGCCATCTTAATTACACAGGGCAACGTTTGTACTTAACTCCCTGGACATTCCTGAATGCTAATCTGAGTTCTGGGGAGGATTATCACAAAAATGACCTGTTATAACTACTTTTATTCTTTTCTTCTTGCAAAGTGACAGGTTGATTTGATTTGCTCTAAGAATCCCAGAGCAACTTTGTGTGATAGGTAGAGACACAGACAATTTAAAGTGTCAAAATCCAATGCGAATTTTATTATATTAGCAAGCGAACAAGAGCAAAGGCAGCGCTGGGCGGCCGGGGAGTCTGCACTCCGCCAACGGCTCGCAACTTCCCGCCTCGTGTAAGCACATTATATACAGTCTCATTTTCTGTATTCGCGACGTCGCAATCAGGGCGATACTCTGCGCATACTCCTTCTGTTGCTAGGGGGTCTTTTTCTACCTCCTGGTGGTCGTAAGGATGAAGGCTGAGGGTCTTCCTCGTTGCCCTGTGGGTGAACTTATGCAAGAATGTGATTATTCAACCCCTTCAGCCACGGGTCTTGTTTACTTTGCCGAATGTCCTTCAGTTGAGCTATCAAGCCTTCTTGTGAGCACATAAATCTTTCATCTATACCCTCCCATACAGGTTTAATGAACAAAGCACAACATGTTACTTCTTACACTTTGGATATATTGCGATACTTATATTCCCTGTTTATTTATGTTCTGAAAATACTTGCTCTGGGTATTTTTAGGATTAGGTAATAACGATCTTGCACTCTCAGAGTTACTTCTCACTGCCTTTGTGTTTCGTTTTGCTTGAGTGGGTAGGATGTTGGTTGTGTCTGCCGTGGATTACGTAGCCCCACCGTTGTACCAAATTACGCAAATTAGATGGATGCCGACTGCCAAAAGTAACATGGAATCCATTAGTATGGTACAGTTAGTCCAAGTGGCCAGTGCCCCGTGGTGGTGTGAGGGCTGCTGTTCTTTTGGAAGTGCCATCTTTCAAGTTAATGTCTGACTGAAGTCCTGGATAGTTGCTCGGTCTTGACCACGTTATGCCTAGCCAAATTCAATTCAAATTTATTATTTATTATTTTTTTTTCCCCTCCCTCTTCATTTGTGGTTTGGAAGTGCATTGTTAGTTTCTGCCTGTATCTATTTTACGTATTCTGGGTTTTGGCTTTTTAAAAAATGAAATTAATTTTATAGTCTTATCCATATTTGTCTGCGTTTGAGAAAAGTATTATGCATCTATAAGAAAACTGATACTTTATAATTGCAAATTAATTGCAAATCAGTTTGTTTTGGGTGACTGTGCCTAATTCTTTCCTCTTATGCTTTGAAAACTGACATTTTGGCAACCAGATGCTGTGTACACGTTGAATAAGAGCAGTAGCTAAATTTGGTCCCAGTATAAAGCTCACTGAAGGCAGTGGGAGGCTTTTCTTGCTTTCAGAGAGTCTGTGAGTTCTCGCAGTTTTTCTGCATTTTAATTTTAATAATGCGAAGATGGTTAATATGCTTCCTGAGGCATCTGAAATTTAAGTTTTTACAGTATTACCTCTTTAAGTGATTCAGTCTTTCACTCTTTATTGAAGAAAGAATAATTATAAGCAAGTTGGTGTGACTATTTTGGGGAAGATGAAACTTCCCCTTCCCCCCTGCCCCCCCTTGGTTTTTTTTAATAAATGCTAATTATCTCTGGAATATGTGGGGGAAAAAAATCATAGCCCTGCCTTCATTGTACTATTTGTAATCACTGCGTTTGTGTGAGGGAAGCACTCGGGCAACTTAGTAGTGAGACTGCTCAGTGTCTGGTTTTATCTGTTTTCGGGGCTTCTCATTTCCATTTAATTTTGGACTAATCAGTTAACTTGATCATTAGCACTTTGAAGCTCTTCGTCTGCTTCTGGGTTTTTAGCATGAGTTCACATTTATGTGCAATGAGAGCTTTTAGTCTGGCGGTGGATTGTGTTTACATTTCATAGGGTTTTCAAAGGCCCACCTTAGAAATTAGTTTGTCCAGACTCAGGTTGTATGTAGCTTTTTGTGTGCCATTATTGAATCTTTGAACACTTTCCCAGATCTAAAATTGTGTTGCTTCCAGATTTAGTTGTTGTCTATGTAAATTGCCCTTCCTTCTTGTATTTTAATGTGGTTATGAAACATGTTTGGTTTTTCTCCCTTAACAGATTTTCCATGGTATGAGAAGATAAAAACGGCACTGCAGGGCAAGTTTAAACTCCAGAAGTTTAGGTCCTTGCAACTAGAAACAGTAAATGCTGCAATGGCGGGAAAGGATATATTTCTCGTCATGCCTACAGGTGGTGGAAAGAGCCTTTGCTATCAGTTACCAGCTGTCTGTTCTGATGGTATGTAAGGGAAGAAAAGGTCATATATGAACAACTGGATTTGTTTTCTCCCTTTTATAGCTGTTTGGAGAATGAACATTGTATTGGTGTCTAATATCACAGTATGGGGAAAAAAAGAGCAAAGATATGAGAGAAAGATTTACTAGAAATATTTGCTTTGCTCTGTTTTCACTGAAGATGCAACAGCAGCTTTAAAATAGATACACCTTTTAGATATGATTTCGATTTAAAGAATTTATCTAGGTTCTTTTCAATACATTATATTCTTAAACACTGAAAGAACTTTTTAAAAGTTTGTTGCTTCCCCCCCCCTTTAAATTCAATCTACAGACTGTAAATTATTAAAAGTACGGATATCTGTTATTTGTCTGTTCCACTGTAAAGTTTTAGCTTCAGATTATTTGGGAGACTCTTTGGGTGTTAATTTTTAAAAGTAAGTATCCAGTTTCAGTTTTTAAGCTTTTTTTTTTTCTTTGAAAAATAACCCACCCAATTGCATGGAAGTTTACTTACTTACAAAGACCAAATTTACCAATACCTGGCATTGCTTAGTTGTGTGATAAATCAGCAGCTCATGACAGAGACGTGAATCCAGCTTGCTTTGTTTTGTGTGTTAGTTCTTACACTCTGTTTGTTGCAGCTCAGTTGTTTGTGGTGTAGATCCTAAGAGAAGGCGCATATCACGGGCAGTTGATAAGAAGTATCTCTGTGTGACCTAGCACTGACTGACCAGCTGTCCAGGAGGGGAGTCTGCTACTGTGTACGAAACTCAAGCTCACGTTTGGCAGTTCCTTCAGAACAGGGCTGATGCATTAGTAAAAAGTATTAGAGGAGATGTTTGTGGCATCAGAACTGTTCAGTTTGCACATTGATTGATTGTTGCAGGTTTCACACTTGTGGTATGTCCTTTGATATCACTCATGGAAGATCAGCTCATGGTTTTGGAACAGCTTGGTATTTCTGCAACTTTATTAAATGCCTCAAGCAGCAAGGTATGTTTAATTGCCATGTCTTTATGGTTTTTGAGGTGCATGTGCCAGTGTCTTGCCTCTGTATATGTTACTTATGAATACCAAACGAACGGCATAGTTTTGTCAGCTAATGCCATTCTGTCAACAGTGTCTTGCCAGCTATGTGCTGTGGTACGGATTATGTGACTAACTACCTTGCCTTTTTGTTTTAATGGCAAAAACATGTGTAAACCTACATCTTTTGTGGTATAAATAAGTTTAATGGGACTATTTAGAGGATGTGAAGTACTTTTTGGCTGGTGTATGTTGTAGATTTTTACTCAGTTTCTAAACTTAAAAGAATATCAGAGTAGATGATTTTTGTCCACTAGCAACATGTTAGGCAGTGCAGGCTTTTACATGTAATTATTAATCTTACTTTAGGATGGTAAACTGTTTGATCCAGAGGCCGAGAAGCAACTTATTTCCCAGTCTGTTATTAGTCAATTGCTTTTTACAGTCAAATATATTTTCCTGACTTACCAGGAGGCTGTGGTCGTTAACTTGCACATGACACTGGATTTAATAGGTTGGTGGCTTGATGCAGTGTCCTGAACTTGGAGCCTGCTTTGAGGTAGAGCCCTTGGAAAAGTCAGTAATAAAGACTACAGTTGTGTACAAGAAGTTATTTTACACTTGTAGTCTCAGAGGCATGTTTGGTACCTTATAGTTTACTGGGAAAATACTGATACCATATGATGAAGCAAAGAGAAGTATTCAATAGTTTGCTTTTTGAAAGTTCAGTGACAGATTTTCCAAGTATTAGAATTAGCGTTTTGATATATATATTGATATAGAATATAATGATATTCCACAAAGACTTACAGTAGTGGTAAATACTATGTAACAGTTTATCAGTCTATTAGTCTCTGTTAATTACCCCTTATGAATTGTTAATAATCTCTTAAGAATCTTACCTCTAAGCGACTTCAGCGTGTTGTCCCTAGTTAGTTAGCCCCTGATTTCTCCTTTTGTTTTGAACAGGAACACGTGAAGTGGGTTCATACCGAGATGCTAAACAGAAATTCACAGCTGAAGCTCATTTATGTGACCCCGGAGAAGATTGCAAAAAGCAAAATGTTCATGTCGAAGCTAGAGAAAGCTTATCAAGCAGGCTGTCTTGCTCGCATTGCTGTAGATGAGGTCCATTGCTGTAGTCAATGGGGCCATGACTTCAGGCCTGGTATGCTTATTAGAAATACAGTTTGCAGTATTATTCAGGCATCAATAAATAGTGCCTTAGCTCAAGGACTTTAAATTTAATTCACAAATGACGATGTCCTTGTCCAGGAGCTAAGTGCATGCAAATGGCAGTGATTTCAATGTGGCTTTTGCTTTCAGTATTCTTTATTCTTTACTTGGAGTTTAATAAAAATGAAAGATTTTGTCTGCCATCTTTAATACAGACAGTACAGTCATCTTTAATCTACTGCTAAATGAAAAAGTGTCATTCCGTATGCTGCTCCCTAACACTCTGGGTGACAGAGGTAGAGAACTTCGTAATTTTGTGAAATATATTTTAATCACTTCTGAAGCACGTTGAAACAAATGCTCTTGACCTGCAGGGAAAGAAGGTGTGCTTTGGTTTGTTTCCTATGTTGTCAGTTGTAGGAGACAATTACTGGTTACTGTTTCTTTGCCTTTGAAAGAAAACCTGATTTGAAGCAATAGGAACTGTAAAGTCAGCCTTTGCGGTTTTGCTAAACAGTGGTGTCTGAGCAAAAGCCATGCCAGTTAAACAGGCAACGTGGATTTTGGATATGTAGCTCTGGTTGCATTTCTGTTCTAAGGCAGCAAGTGACTGTCAGCACTGAACCTATAAAATCTTTCCTTAGTACAGTCTGGTTGGTGTATCCAAAATTCCACATTGCTTGTTTATTAGCAAAGCTGTGTTTTCTGAAAAACTGCTTGTAAAAACAGACCTGCAAAATAACCTGAACGTTGATTAATGTGATGCCACTTAGGTTTTTCTAACTCTTTAAGAACTTCCATTTCAATCTGTTTTGCCTTTTGAATTGTGGCTGCTTTTAAAAAATTCAATTAGAAGAGAAAGCATCTATTTTAGTAAGTGCAACCTTTCTGTGGCTTCATTTGTTGTGTAAATTAGCTCTGTGGTAAATGGATGTAATAAGATGTATTGCAGTATTACCCCACTGAATGCTATCTAATATCTTTTTAACTTTGGATCTATGGTATGAGAAATATTTCCTCTTTTTGTTTTTTTGGTTGTTTTTTTTTTGCTTAGACTACAAGTCTCTTGGTATCTTGAAAAGACAGTTTCCCAATGCTCCCTTGATTGGATTGACAGCAACTGCTACAAATCATGTTTTAAAGGATGCTCAGAAAATTTTGCACGTTCAGAAGTGCATTACCTTTACTGCATCTTTCAACCGGCCCAATCTTTACTATGAGGTAAGTCTTACTACCTATTTGTTTGACAGCATCACAGTCATGTTGTCTTCTGTAAGTTACAGTTGATGATTTTTAGAATAGATTTTCAATTACACATTTTAATAATAAATAGCTTTTCAACTGAATGATGGTGTTCTTTCATGACTTCATCTTGCTGAACTTGCTGTCATCTGCAGAGGAACTTGGGCTGCTCTGTCTTCGTGAGCAAGGCTTAGCAGATAGGACTGTGTATAGGCAAGAGGTAGGTAGCAGGCTCAGGCTGCTTCCAGATTGTTGGACGATAGGTCTCATGATTGCAAAATGTTGTGAATTACTGTGTTGTACTGTATTTTCAGTTTGAGCACAGCTTCTTTTATTGTTCTTCATGGAAAAATTTGTGCACCTTTTTTTTGGTGGACTTTTGAGATGTAATCTGACTACACAGAGAGAATCTAGTAATTTTGGCTAAATGGCAGAATAGTTGTGTTTGTTGTACTGCAGTAGGATTGTTTGACAGATTGTTTGACCGATTGCTTGCCCACTTGAAGAACTCTCTGGCACGTGTTTATTATGTTTTTGAGGTTCGACATAAGCCTTCAAATAATGAAGATTTCATTGAGGATATAGTTAAGATCATTAATGGAAGATACAAAGGACTCTCAGGTAAAAAGCAGGGCAGGGGGCGGGGTGGGGGGAACAAACCAAAACCCAAACCAAAAACAACAGCAACAAAAAAACAAAACATGAAAAGAAAAGAGCATGTTATTTTTTTATAATCTTCAGCATTACAGGGATGTTTTCAGCTGGTACTGAAACATGTAGAGAAATTCTGCCTTCACCATACATTAAACATCCAGCATTAGAAGAAATGAAATTTAATAAGATTTGTACCTTGAATAATTACTCTTTTCATTCATTAGTGTTTAAATGTCTTTACATTTTACTTATATTCTGAAGTATTGAAATATAAATAAGACTGTAAAAACAAGGCTCAAAAAAGTTTATGTTTTTAAATCACGTGTATCTCATTTAGTATCTATGTGTCTGGATACTTACTATCTTTAACACACTTCTTTTTCATATTTGATCGTAAGGTTCATGTATTATTCAGTGCCCAGAATGGGTGTGTGATGGGGTGAATTGCACTTTTGTGATGAAAGCAGAACTGTAAAAGTTGGACTTCGTGTAATCAATGAATTATATAGTGCAAACACAGAGGGGAGCCGTATTACAAAGGCAAAAGAACAAAATTTCCCAGATCATCAGCCTGTCCCTGTCTCTGCTGTGATGAGCAGCTCCCTGAGTACAAACCGTGCTAAGGTGATCACAAATCATGCAGCTTTGTGTGTAATCCTTGACTTAGCCCAGGCTGACTAATGACAAAAAGCAGATTTATCTGAATCCTCAGGTGAAACGTCATAGATGATGTAAGGAACAGCACCCCTTTACATAAGCATTAATAACCATTGTCCTCCTTGAACATTAGTAAAATACTTCTGTGATTATATGTATTGGATTGGCACTTGTATTTTCTCTTTAGTCTGCAAGTCAAAGCTGATAATTGAAGTTCCCTTCGTGGCTACCGATACTGCAGACTGAACAGGCACAAAGATTGTTTACTGGTTTTTATTTATTTAAGTCAATAAAACTTTCAAAATTGTTTTTAAGTATTGGGGATCGTTTGGGTTTTTTAATACATTACAATAAGCCATCTTTTACTTTTGTCCAGGAATTGTTTACTGTTTTTCTCAGAAGGATTCTGAGCAAGTTACTGTGAGTTTGCAGAAACTGGGAATAAAGGCAGGGACATACCATGCAAACATGGATGCTAAATGTAAGACCAAAGTTCATAAAGGATGGGCAGCAAATCAAATCCAGGTTAAGTAGAAACTTTTCATAGACTTAAGTCTCATTTAAGCGAATTGTGGTTTGGTACCTTGATGGTTTCTTAATCTTTTTTCAGGTTGTAGTGGCTACTGTTGCTTTTGGCATGGGAATTGATAAACCTGATGTGAGGTTTGTAATTCATCATTCTATGAGCAAATCCATGGAGAACTACTACCAAGAGAGTGGACGTGCAGGTACTGTAGGAAATGGCTTTTGCAAAGTCGCCGTTTGCATCCGTTAAACCAATAAAATTGTACTTTGGTTTCAGCCGTTTGTGCAAAGTGTCTTGTCTTTGAGACAGGTTCAAAAGTGTATAATGCCACTCTGCCTCTGTAAAGAGGCTTTAGAGCAAATATAAACTACATTCATGATCTCGGGCTTCTGTACTGCAGTGTAGCAAAGAATAACCGGGTACCTAGCCCTTTACTCAGCAGTTTTTTAAATTACTTGATTTTTGTGGCTTACCAGAATAATTTCATAATGTAACATTGTCTATCAGATGTACGTTACAGAAAAGATTTTTTTTTGTTTTCATTTGTGTACCAGCTGGGATGTGTGATTTGCTCAGATTGTCTCTAGATAATGTCTAATCGCTGTAAGAATTTCAGTGGGCACAGAAATACAAGTAGGATGTGGAGTCTGGAGCAGGGAATTTTAAGGCTTCATCAATGTATAGCAGCATTCAATAGCTGTTACAGCTGAAAAAAAGGTTTTCTGTTGTTTTGGTTTGGCTTGTGGTTTTTTTGGCCTTGTGCATTATTACTTTTTCAAAGACAGATTTGAATCCACGTGGAGGAAAGCTTTTTAAGGACCTTGAGGGGCAATTGGTTGAGATTTTAACTATACCTGTGATACAAATTGATCGTAATGCTACCTAAGAAATACAACAGTCATCAAAGTTTGTGGGAGTTTGCATCTGCTTACCCTAGAACCCGATTGCTTCTAGGTAGTGCTGGAAGTAACAAGAAGTTTATGTATTGAAGTGGTGAGACATAGGCCTTACAGATGCTGAAATAGTTGCTTCACACTGTTTATTACCTTAGGATGATCAAAGCAAGCTTTTGTGGTTTTTTAAATGATTATTTAAATGAGATTCTTCTGGGAAGGGATTAATTAAGCACTGTTACCCATTTGCCTGAACATACTACTTAGCTTATGAAACCTTCCCTTTTTCCCCTTGAGTGCCTATCCCAGTGAAGTAGTTCCTTTCTGCTATATGTTAAACTTTTTAAAAAAGTGTAGGTTTTTTAGGCCTTTTCTGCTCTCAGGATCTTGTGGACAGCAGGAGGGCACCCATGAGCACATCATGGGAAGGGGTGGGAAGAGATGATCTAAGTTCAGCTATAGAAGTCACAGTTGGTTTTAAAGGGAATATTTTGTTTAAATCATACCTAATTCTCTGTTTATTTATTACCATTAATACCTAATAAGGTATTTGAAGCTCACAATGCCTTTTAATCAAATAAGAATTAGGCTTCAGTGTGTATTTGGCTAGGATTTTCCAAGAGGTGTTAGGGTGAGAAAAACAGTGATTTTGCTGACTTTCTTTATGATGCTAATATTTTTAGTTGTTAAAGAGTTAAAATCTTCATTGTGTAGTGTTTTCAGTTTACTTGGTTCTGTACTTTTAGAAGACTGCTCTCAAACTATTTTATTTCTAGTCTGTATCATGCTGTGTTCTATTGACTAATATGTTATGCTTGGTACTCTGTTACAGTCATGCACTCTCTATATAGGGGCTGCAGAAGCCCAAGCAGATAAGGGTGGAATTTGTACCAGAAAATGCTGTGCTTAAAATAAATCTCTTCTAAAATTTTTGTTCATTTTAATGCATTGCAGGTAGAGATGACCAAAAAGCTGACTGCATCTTGTATTATGGTTTTGGAGATATATTCAGAATCAGTTCAATGGTAGTGATGGAAAATGTAGGGCAAGAGAAGCTGTATGATATGGTGTCTTACTGCCAGAGTATGAACAAGTAAGTTACTGTGGTGGCTTGGTTGCTTAGTTTTTAAATAGGCCAATTTTGTTACATTTTTTTTAGAGGGCATTTGAAAAAAAAAAAAAAAAACAACCCCAAACAAAACCACCCACAAAACCAACAACAACAAAACAAAAAACCCCACCCACAACACTGTAGAAACACTGCGATTGTAACAGAGCCTTGAATTTGGAGCTTGTGGTTTGGCTGCTCAGTACGTGTACTCTTGCACACAACTGAACGTTGGTGGCTTGTGTGCCACCTTCAGGATAAAGCTCTGGAAGCAGTTATGTTGAGGTGAAATATCTGTCAACAAACACTGTCTGGATTTCAAATCCCATTCAGAGCAAAAACTGGAATGCTTTGGGTTTGACTCTGAGGTACCAGGGTTTAATGGCCATACAGGAATCCACATGGGCTTAATGCTTCACCTGCTGCACTGGGCTGTTTGGAATACTTCATGGAAAACACTTGTATCTATGGTCTGGACGACTCATGCATTCAGTATAGCCTTTGTTGGCCTCAGTCTAAGAATTAGTTCATACTCTTATGATTTTTCATTCTATTGAAATTGAAGGTTATACTTACTTTTCTGCTTTAACCAAACTGTTCCTACAGCGATGTTTACTATTACTGAAAGCTACTAGTTATTCCTGTTAGTGTAACTGACAGGGAATACTGTGTTGTGGTATTTTTCTGATTTTTTCCAGAGATAATTCTTTGTAACTGACAGGGAATACTGTGTTGTGGTATTTGTTTTCTGATTTTTTCCAGAGATAATTCTTTATGCTTGTTTTGAGATATGAGCTGACCCAAGGGACCTTCTTTTTGCCACTTTCATGATTTATAACATGGGCGTATATGCTTATGTTTGATAGTCTCTCTTTGCTCTCTGTTCTTTCAGATGTCGCCGGGTCCTTATAGCCCATCATTTTGATGAAGTTTGGGATTCTGCAGACTGCAACAGAATGTGTGATAACTGCTGTAGAGAGAACTGTAAGTAAATTTTTATAACCAAGGATGGAGAACATGGAGAAGGTTGGCTTAAAGAAATACCTGGTTTAGACAAACTGTGAGCAACTTCTGTAAAGTGTACTCATAATACTGCCTGTTTCCAAGGTGCAAATTTTGTTATGAACATCAGTTTTTGGTGGCTTAGTGTTGCCAAGCTCAGGGTGTTTAGCTCAATGCTTTTTGCCTGAGGCCGAACACTTTGGTATCTTTCGGGCTCAGCTGTTCACATGTTCCCAAAAGTGAAGCTGGGACAAGGGGGAGATTGGCTTACTAGTTGAAAAAATATTCTGGTATGTGTCAGGCTTTGTTTCAGGATTTGTTTGGGTGCGAGAGCTTTATTTTGGTGAAGCTGGGACAAGGGGGAGATTGGCTTACCAGTTGAAAAAAAGATTCTGGTACGTGTCAGGCTTTGTTTCAGGATTTGTTTGGGTGCGAGAGCTTTATTTTGAGAAAGAGCCTCTTGGTCTCTGCATGCCAAACTGTTCCACTTGGGCTCTGAGAAGGCGCAGTTTGCACACGTCCTCATACAACTTGCCTGGTAAAATCTCTGAGGATTTCAGTGCTGCGTGCTCATGAGACATACCTGTGCCAGGACTGTGCATGACAGTTGTGCAGAACAATTCAGCATACTAATTCAGGATTTCGCTGTGTGTTAGCCCTGACAGCACAATGTCTGTTTAGTGTGTGCTCTTCCTTTGGAAGAAAGTTGGGATTGTTAGAGGGAAGGCATATGAGCCAGACGTAGAGGGAACTTGGGAGATGAGCTGAAACAAGACCTGCTGCTTGGTAAATGAGGATGATTATTATGTACTATATGGATGTGTTAGTGCTTGGAATAATTATTCATGATGAAGCTAATTTGTGTGATGAATTTAATACCTTTTTTCTGTCTCATTCTGTCTGTAAGTGTCATGACAGAAGATGTGTCTCACATATTCTTCAGTTCATAGAATCATAGAATGGTTTGGGTTGGAAGGGACCTCAAAGATCCTCTTGTTCCAAACCCCCTGCCATGGCAGGGACACCTCTCACTAGACCAGGTTGCTCAAGGCTCCACCCAACCTGGTCTTAAACACTGCCAGGGATGGAGCATCCACAGCTTCCTTAGACAAACTGTTCCAGTGTCTCACCACCCTCAGGGTGAAGAACTTCTTCCTTGTATCCAGTCTAAACCTGCCCTCTCCTAGCTTCCAACCATTACCCCTCGCCCTATCACTGCAGGCCCTTGTAAAAAGTCCTTCCCCAGCTTTTTTGTAGACCCTCTTCAGGTACTTGATGGCTGCTATAAGGTCTCCCTGGAGCCTT